GATAGCAAAACATCAAACTGACAGCGATTTAACCTATCTGTACTATATCCTAAAAAAAAATAAGAATTACAATGTTTTGTTTTTGCCTAGAACAAATATTCTTTGAACACTGGGCAGAAAAGCTTTTATTTGAATATATTCAATAATAGCCAAAAAGGATATAAATCCACTCTGTGTGCACCAAATGCCTTTGCAAACCCATATATTACCTTGTAAAAGTAGCAATGATACCATCACAGTGCTGTACACAGAAGAGAGATGTAGGATTGGACCCCCAGTCTCCACCCACTATAGGCTGCCTGCAAAAAACAATGGGAGGGGGCGGAGACAAGACCAGTCACAATGCAGGAGAGAGAGTAGCAGTGACCAGTCTATATTACAGGAAGCTCCTGTGCAGAGACAAAGTTGAACACTGAATTACTGCATAGATCTGGAATAAATACAAAGATTCAAGGAAGGATACACATGACTCTTGTATTAGTCAATATTTGCTGATGCCAGAGTTCAGCTTTAATTTTATAGTATATTCAAATTTAACAGAACCCTGACAATAAACCCTTAGCACGTACCCTGCACAGAGGCAAAGTTTCATTCTGGACCACTGAACTATATGGACATTTAGCTTTCTGAGCACCAACAACGGATGTAAGTTCTATGCAAGCCGCATTGAATGTAGATTCCCCTAGGCTCCAAAGGTAGAGGGACCTGAGCTTTGACTTACAGGGGATGATTTACTAAAACCGGGGAGTTGCAAAATCTGATGCAGCTCTGCATAGAAACCAATCAGCATCCGGGTTTTATTGTCAAAGCTTAATTGAACAAGTTGAAGTTAGAAGCTGATTGGCTACCATACGCAGCTGCACCAGATTTTGCACTCTCCAGTTTTAGTAAATTTACTCCCAAAGCGTATGTTGTTTCACAAGCTGATGATGGGAAACTAAAATGGATGAACTGGGTTACATTCTGGAGCAATAAAACAGTATTGGATGGACTATTTTAGCAACTCAATCTTTTGCTTTCAGATTTATAATATTCTTCTTTTCCCATAAGTAACACTGACTCTGACAGCACATTCATCTGACCATCACAATTTAAACATTTCAGGGCTGTTTTAGCACAGCTTACTCATTCTAGCTGGGTGATTGCAATTTTTGCTCCTTGTGATTTGCTTTTACAGTAGAACTAAAAGCAAAACGTTTTTGCTTTGGATAGAATGGAGAGGGATTCGAACCCTTGTCAGTTTTAATTGCTGCAATATCACCCTATTTGTCCTGTTTAACATTGAACAAATATGCTGTTACACAGTTAATATTTATGTTAATGTTCATGAGAATTCATATAGTTTATTTTTTTGTACCATTTCCTATGGACATTTCTATAATTACTAATGCTGCCATCCAGTGGTCTTATTTGGTAATGCATTTGTTTTTCATGTTGCCTCCCTGAGATCTATGACACAATTCCTTTGTATATGAAGCTCCTCCCTTCTTCTTGAGTTCAGCACTTCCTGTGTCATGGAGGCAGCTAACAGACCACATGTAACAGGGAGACATGTATTCTGCATAGTACGCTACAGAAAGTATCATCTTTTGACCGCATAATACTGGAAACCATTCATTCTGCTGTATCCTGTTGTCACATGTACAGAATAAAGCAACTTCTGGATGAACACAGTATTGGTGAGTTCAAGCTATCTGATAAGGATTGTCCACAGTGATTATATCCGCTTATACAGGCTAGGCAGAGAGGTCTCACAAGGGATAAATCGCTATCACAACAATCTGAGTCAGAATAACAAAAGTAAAAGAAAATCCTAAACTTTGGATTGACACCAGAAGAATCATAGAGGGGAAATCTTCCAATTGACACTAGTTCTGGTGACACCTTGGGATTCCCTAACTTTGGAGGAACTTCCTCTCACTTCCTGTTTTGGGTATGGGACAAGAAGTGAATGGAAATCACCCCAATGGCACAAAAAAAAACTGTCAGAGGTATAACCCTCCCTTACCCTATCCAAAATGGGAAAAAGGGTTTTTTTTTTTTAGTTCTAATTTAACCACTTGCCCTCCAGAGGATTTACCCCCTGTTCTGTCTCTCCAATCTAAGCATTGATAGTGTGATCTCTGTAATTTACAGTTGTGATAAGATAGTGATAACTCCAATCTTAGTTGAATAACACAGGCAGTGACTCAATCCAGAAGACATCTTATAGATCTTGTGAAGTTTATTCCATAAACGGAGAGAATCTTACAACAATGAACATCGGATAGGTCAAAAGATCATAGTGTGATCTGCTTCATGACATGAGGTTTGAAGCTGAAATACCTTACTGAGAAAAGGGGTGGGCTAGCTATACAGCATGAACTAAACCAGAGGAAAGGGAGGAGCAGAGACAATATACAAAGAACACTTAAAAGCATATGACAGTCATGTGTTTTACATGACACCCCCTTCTTAACCAGGCCTTTTTTACGATATGGCGCTGTGTTATTTTAACTGACAATTGCGCGGTCATACAATGCTGCACCCAAATGAAATTTATGTCCTCTGTTTCCCACAAATGGAGCTTTCTTTTGGTGGTATTTGATCACCTCTGTGGTTTTTATTTTGTGCGCTATAAACAAAAAAAGACCGACAATTTTGAAAAAAAAAATATTTTTGACTTTTTGTTATAAAACATGTCAAATACAAAAATTAAAAAAATTAAATTTCTTCATAAATTTAAGCCAAAGTGTATTCTGCTACATGTCTTTGCTAAAAAATAAATTCCAATATGTGTAAATTAGTTTACGTGAAAGTTCTATCATCTACAACTGGCAGTATATATATACTGGGATTTTTATTTATTTATTTTTATACTAGTAATGGTGGCGATCAGCGACTTATAGCGGGACTGTGGGGGGCATTCTGACACTGGGGTGGAACTGACTAACTGCCACTGACACTAATACAGTGATCAGTGTTAATAAAAAGCAATGACACTGTACTAATGGCACTGAGCAGGAAGAGGTTAACATGTGGGGCGATCAAAGGGTTAACTGTGCTGTGTATTTTTTACTGTGTAAGCACACTGCTTTGTAGTGCTCTGCTATGCAGAGCACTACAAAGCAGCATGCTGGTGCTGATAGGAGAGATCTGTATTGTTTACATACAAACCTCTCTCGTCACTGTTCCTCGGCGATTGCTAGGTGCCGGAGAGGAATCTCCGTCCGGGACCCGGTGATCGACAGCTGTAGCTGCCAATGGCGTGTGCGCCTCCTACCCGGAAATGCAAAGTCACGTATATATACGTGATTTTGTGCAGCCCTGCCGCCATGTAGCAGTAGTTCTGCTTTAGGGTTATGGGGGGGAAACGGTTAAGTAAAGCTTATGGCAGAAGGCATGCTGGTAGTTTAGGGGCCTTAGAGTGAATTAGGGACCTTAGATTGTAAGCTCACTGAGGGCAGGGACTGATGTGAATGAACAAAATATATGTAAAGTGCTGCGTAAATTCATGGCACTATACAAGTACCAATAATAAAGAAAATAAATGCACCCCCACATTAGTGATGCAGCTTTGGTGCTTTTTGTTAGCGAAGTAGTTCCTCATTTTTTCACTAGATGTCACTGTAGTTGCATCTCTGAGGATGGCAGTATGCCTTACTGGTATAGAAAATGACTTTACATTCTGTTAGCTTTATATGTCCCTTCATGTGTGCTTTATAACCAGAGCTGCATTACACATAATATAGCTTCATAAATGGGAGTTAGAAACAAATTCCACCATTCTTTAGGGTCAGTCCACACATTTTTTTAAAATTGTGTGCGTAACAGTTAGGAACCTCTGATAGGCTTTTAATATTTATTTATTTCAGGTACTTATATAGCGCCGTCAATTTATGCAGCACTTTACATATATATTGTACATTCACATCAGTCCCTAACCCTCAAGGGGAGTACAATCTAAGGTCCCTAACTCACATTCATACATACACATACTAGGGACAATTTAGACAGGAGCCAATTAGCCTACCTTCCTGTCTTTGGAGTGTGGGAGGAAACCGGAGTACCCTGTTGCTGTCTGTGTCTCTGTTGGGAAGATTGGCCTTTTTTTTTGTTCTAGTGACCATTGGCAGGGTGTTGCTAGGATTGTAAAAGATCTGGTCGTGCACTTAGCATGTCTTGAGATTGCACACTGCAAATAGTGGGACAGGGCTATAGTTAGCAGGACCTAAGCCTACATGCTTTACACACAGCACACGTATGCCACGTAATATGCCACTAAGAGAGACTTCAGCTTAATCATTAATAGTGTACAACTTTGCAGGGAGTGTGTGCAAGCAGAGAGACTTGGGAGTGTCCACAGCTCCCATCCAAGCCACACTGACCCCAGGGGCTGAAAGCAGAAGCAGTGTGACAACTGCGTGGGCTGGAGGATATTAGGATCCAACACTCCTAGAAGTGTCACATTCCTATTCATTCTGCAGGGTTTATACTGTAAATAAAGCAGCAACTATCTTTTAAAAAAAAAATATATAGCACTTGTGTATCTATATTACTTATTTTAACCACTTGCCCTCCTGAGGATTTACCCCCCTTCATGAATAGGCCATTTTTTTGCGTTACGGTGCTGCATTACTTTAACTGACAATTGCGCGGTCATGCAACACTGCACCCAAATGAAATTATGTCCTTTTTTTCCCACGAATTGAGCTTTCTTTTGGTGGTATTTGATTGCCTCTGCGTTTTAATTCCTTGCGCTATAAAAAAAAAGACCGACAATTTTGAGAAAAAAATAACAATATATTTACTTTTTGCTATTAAACATGTCTAGTAAAAAAAAATTAACAAATCAAATTTCTTCATAAATTTAGGCCAAAATGTATTCTGCGACATGTCTTTGCTAAGAAAAAATCCCAATATGTGTAAATTAATTGGTTTAAGTTTAATTTTAATAGCGTTTACAAAAGACGGTATATATACTGGGATTTAAAAAAAACATTTACTAGTAATGACGGCGATCAGTGACTATAGCGGGACTGCGGGATTGTGGCGGGCATTCTGACCCTGGGGGGAACTGACTTGGTGTCACTGACATCCCCAGTGAGACCAATACAGGAATCAGTGCTAAAAAAAAAGCACTGACACTGTACTAATGACACTGGGCAGGAAGGGGGTTAACATGAGGGTGATCAAAGGGTTAACTGTGTGCTGCTTTACTATGTGCCGTGTCCGCGTGCTTTACTGTAAGCACAGCCATGCAAAGCAGTGTGCACAAGCTGACAAGGAGGAGAACTGTCTTGTTTACAAACAGTTCTCCCTGTCTGAGATGCTTGGCAATCAACCCAGTGATTGACAGCCGTGGCCGCGAATGGCAAATAGAGCTTTCTTTTGGAGGGATTTGATCACCTTTGCGGTTTTTTATTTTTTGCGCTATAAAAAAAAAGAACTTTGAGAATAAAAACAATATTTTTGACTTTTATTTAAAAGTTTTATTGATTTTATTGATTTTTTATTTTAAAAATCTAATTTCGATATAATTTAGGCCAAAATGTATTCTGCTACATCTTTGCTAAAACAAATCCCAAAAAAAATCCCAATATGTGTAAATTAATTGGTTTACGTGAAAGTTATAGCGTTTACAAATGGCAGTATATATACTGGGGTTTTTTTAATTTTATTTTTACTAGCGACTAATAAAAAGCACTGACACTATACTAATGGCACTGGGTAGGAAGGGGTTAACGTGGGGCGATCAAAGGGTTAACTGCGTGCCGTTGTACTGTGGGTTGTGTTAGTGCTTTCAACTGTAAGCACACTGCTTTATATGGCTGTGCTATGCACAGCCATACAAAGCAGTGTGCAGGAGCGGACGGGAGAGATCTGTATTGTTTACATATAGTTCTCTCCCTCCGTCGGTAATGTTCCTCGATCACCGGAAGCAAGTAACCACCGGCCGGGACCCGGTGATTGAAAGGCTGCAAATAGCGGCTAAAGTGCACGCGCCCCCCTACCCGGAAACGCAAAATCATGTATATATACGTGTTTTTGCGCACCCCTGCCACCCTGTAGCAGTATTTCTACTATAGAGCAGGGGGGAAGCAGATAAAATATCACCAAAACATTAAAAAAAAGTTTTCAAATCCCCCAGTTGACCAATTGCATAAAGCACTCAGTCCCATTCTGTGTTCTTTTTAAATCTGGCTGTACCCCAAGCCGAAGCCCAATTTGTGGGCTTTCCTATAAGGGAATACATCCAGCACTGTAAGAATCAAAGGGGTTGATTTACTAAAAGCAAATAGACTGTGCACTTTGCAAGTGTAGTTGAACTTTGTAGGGCATTTGCTCCAGAGCTTAGTAAATGAGATGAAGGTTCACTTAGCAAAGGATAGCCAATCACATGCAAGGAAAATTATAGCATTTTTGCTTGCACATGATTAGGTGATGCCAGTCATCAGAGTTTCCCCTCATTTACTAAGCTCTGGAGCACACTGCACTTGCAAAGTGCACAGCCTTTAGTAAATCAACCCCACAGTGCCTGTCTTTACTCTTTCAGTAAAAGGGATGTTCCAGATTATCTTGTATAGGACTCCTGTTCCCTGCAAGGACTGCACAAAAATATGGAAACACTACATGATCAGCAGGTGACAAAGTGAACATGAAACATGTCGCCAAAGTGGAAATTATGTAACATTATTTTGCTTCCGCTGTGTGATGAGACACCTAGCTAAGAGGGGAAAAGCCTCACTTTCGTCATTCATTGTGTGCGCTGCTTTTAATATGGAGCCATGTCAGAACTTACTGAGCTTCAAAGAGGGCAAAATGTTGGTGCTGCTTAGCTGGTGCCCGTGACACGAGGTACAGTAATAAAGGGTATGACAACATATAGTTTCCGGGAAAACGTCGCCTGATAAGTATAAGTGCGGTCGAATTGGTCAGCTGACCGAAAGATACAAAAGAACATTCTGCAGGATTGTGACCGGAATAAGAAAACAACTGCTGCAAAAGTGACTTCAGAACTCAATCTCAGTCTTCACAGGAGAGGAGACATTTTATGGCTAGTTACGTGTTTTTTTCACAATTTGTATTTTATTGAGTTTTATAAAATGCACAAAACAATTCAGTGCAAAAGCACCCACAAAATAAAAACTCTAAAAAAAAATTAAGAGTTGTTCATAAAACCAAATAAACTATCAATCAGCAATATGTATAGAGATTACAGCAGTGGACGGACCCATATGTAGGCCCAGGTCAATAACGCAGGTGATATATACAATTGTTAAGTATGAGGCCTTAGAACAGCAAGAGGCGCACTCCACATATCAGGAATAAATCCGAGTTGGGGGTTCACCAAGTCTGAAAAACTATTTCCAGGCTAACAGGTATATGAACAACTGTTAGAAATTCTGTATAAAGCCCTACAGAACAGGCAGTGCACAGTCCACATGTGCTTTTCAACTTCACTGCAAACAGGAAACTTTATATTAGAGAAAAGTCATGGAGTATACTGTACCATAGATGCAGATACAAATTTCTAAACACTGCCATCTACTGGTTGAAGAATGTATCTCTACTAAATACTGATGTAGTTGTTGTACAGAATACAGAAAGACTATGTACCAACAACAATTAAGCTACTGTGTTGGGGATTTCCAGCCACATTGACCAAACTTTATTGAATTTTGATGGACACCCTCTACTTTTGTAAGTGACCCTGTATAATGGAAGAGCAGAATTCACCAAAGATTTCCAAGTGGCTAAAGTTGGGGGTAAAGAAGATTTCTATTTTAATACAGCTGTTTTCCTTCCATAAATCAGTACTACTCCAAGCAATATTTTAGCGGTCCTTCTTGGGGCCAGGGGTTCCACAAGTCCCACAAAGTAATACAGCATAACTTGGGGCACTCAAGTAGCTGTTATCTCGAATATAAATTGAAGGATCTGGGACCAGCATACTCTATCAGGACACGTCCAAAAGATATATACAAATTCTGCATGTATGAAAGAGCATCAGGTTAGTTAAGACTTAGCTGGAATTCTACTTTAATTATTTGGGTCATTACAACAGAACACAAAATATGCAGCTTGCAACAAATGTTGGGTAATATTGTACATTGGCCTAAATTGCAACACAAGTATCTGTAACATAAAAATGTTTGCGTTCAACAATTTAGTTGCTTTGTAATAGCACACACTGAGATTGTTCTGTCTCACTTATTTACATTTTGTCTGTATTGTACTGAATTGCATCATCCGGTTACTATTGTTCTATAGGATGCTGATATCTAGAGGAGGTTTTGAGCCACTACATTTTATTTACTATGTTGTTTGGTATATGCCTCTGTCCTTCCCTCCTGTTTAATGCTAGTTAGTTCCATCCTAGTTAGACCCTCCCTGTTTCTTCCAAGTTCCCTCAGGTGTTAGTTCTAGTGCAGCTCTGCATGGAAACCAATCAGGTTCCAGGATTTATTGTCAAAGCTTAACCTCCCTGGCGGTATGATCATGTCAGGAATTTTGTGCTGAAAGCGCGGTACCATTTTTTTGCATGGAAATATGTAGTTTTTAATTGTAGGCTGTAATTTTTAGGAATAACTCACTGAAATCTATCCGAAAAAGAGTCTATTAAACATTCCGGATATGATAAAACTTGAAACACGAAATCATAAATTATAATTTAATAAATAATCATAAAAAATAATAATATAATAATAAATTTAATTCAATAATATAATCAAATCAAAAACACTGAAATTTGAAATACAGAGGCAAATTCGCACATCGCTGAGCAAAGTCGCAAAATCGTTTTCAGTGTCTGATGACGAATTTCCCCACAAATCATTATCACTCAATTCTGCAAGTGGTTCTAATTTACTATCGCTCTTCTAAAACCGCTTTTGACGTAAAGGGATGCTTTTTGGCCGCCATGGACTTTTCTAAGTTTCCAGGAAGAAAGAACAGTCAAAATGCAGGCAGGGCGCAGGACAAAGCAGTGGGGACAAAATGTATGTGAAATGCAGTGAAACAGCAATGACAGCAAAAATGTCATTTTTTAAAAATTTCAAATTTCCCGCCGGTTCCGCCGCCCGAACGTTCCGACGTCACGGGGACCGGAACACGGAAGCCAGATGCCGGCATCCGCCGGAGGAGATGGACGGGGACACTGCAGGGGACCCATCGTGGGAGCGAAGGACAAGGTAAGTGCTGCAGGGACCCCCAGAGAACGCTGCATGGTAAGCCCGAGTGTAGCTCGGGGTTACCGTTCTTGGTATAGAAATTCTACCCCGAGCTACACTCGGGAACACCGCCAAGGAGGTTAATTGAACAAGCTGAAGTTAGAAGCTGATTGGCTACCATGTACAGCTGCACCAGATTTTGCACTCTCCAGTTTTAGTAAATCAACCCCATTGTCTTCTTACACTTAAAAAGACTAGAAAAAAATCCTCTGTACAGCAATTATGTGAAATAAAATAGTTGGGTGGGGATTCTACTTCTGTTTTGTTTTTTTTTTTTTTTTTAGAGGTTGAGATGTCTGTGGATGGTGCCAAGTCAGCAGGTGACCATACTGTCCGGACAGACAAGGTCTAAGAAGGTATGTCAATGCATAAAGTGGCATTTGAAACAGAACAGAGATACCATGTAGTTTAGTAAGTCTGTTCATTTTTCTTGTGTGCTTACCATCGTTGCTGTACTATAATGTATATGTGTACTTCTAAAATGGTTGGGCACTTATTTTGTTTTTGTAGCGTCCTCCTCTATTTAGGCTGCTAGGATAAATTTAGTTTTTCGTTTCACTGTTGTGCATGGAGCAGTGATCTATGGGTTTTGTCTGTTCAGGGTTTCCTGAGCTGGGACTTTGATTTCTCTCATCTGCTTACGAAAGAAGCTTCCAGAATGCAGGGCAGGGAAAGTCATATAGCCAGCATGAATATTTATGATGCTCCAGATACTCCCAGAAAGGATGAGTCCAGAAGGTGGATGGGGAGGTGGAAAATGTTAGAATGGCCTGAGCAGAGTGTTGTTTCCACTCCAAGGAAGGCTCCAGTACCCCTGGGGCTGCTGCCCCTGGGAGAGAGCTACTGAAAAGACATTGCAGTCTGGCCTCAGCAGGAGCTGGACTGAGGGCCTGGAGGAGATGTCTAATGGACTTTTTTCCTGGAAGGTATTGTCCTGAAGTCCTGGTCTGGAGAAGGATCTTTAATCTCCCTCACTGAGGACTTACCTGTGGATGCTGGGTGGCAGACAGCTCCCAGGACATTGTAAGTAAGACCTGATTTAGTTATGTAGCATGCACCTGCTCTTGAAAGAATTGTTTATTTTTTCTACTAAGAGGTTTGTACTCCCATTGAGTGCTAATTCCATTTTATAGTATCCTTTGACCCTAAACCCCTCTCTTTTTCTACTTATTTGTCAATGAATTCTAAAAAAAAATACAAAAATAAAGTCATCCCCTAGACTGACCCTGAATTATTAGTGTGCAGGGAACTGTGCGTGTGACGGGAAGCCTCCATACCAAGACTAGACTAGACCTGGGCATATTCTCAGCATCCCCTCCAGCTGCATTTTTTGGGGGGATTCAATACACAAAGGCCGGTATGTCTCAAGGAGCTATCCTTTGTCCCTGTACTTTTCTTTCTTCTCTCTCCTTATTTACAGTCCCTAATCTTATCCCTGCCTAAACTGTCATTCCCTGTGGTGACACTGGTAAATTGTCCCGGAAAACACACATTCCCAAATAGACAACTGCTAGTCTACTATATCAGTGGTCGGACTGTACTAATCAGAGTAAAGGATCCCACTTCTAAGCAGAGCTATTAAGCAGAAATTCTTTTTTTCAATTGTGTTTTAGCCCTGTTCTCTCTCCTCTCCTTCCAACACAATGAAATTGACAGCTCCAGCTAGATGCTATGTTTATGTATGAGAAATGCCAAACCACATCATCCTTGTTGGCTGACTGCTGCTGAAGGTGGGAGAGCCCTCTGGAGGACTGGAACACATCAAAGGCATT